GAATAAATGTTGCAATTTGTTTATTAGCCACCCAGATTTTACAATCTCTGACCAAACTCCCTGAAATTCAGTTTGGGAGAGAACCATGAAAAAGCTTAGTCTTGGCAAAGCTTGTTTTGTTGGAATGCTGCTGGAGCGATGTTTTGATTGTGTCTCATTCCTCCTCTTCCATCACTTGCGGTCATTATTTGGGGACTCTAAATCCTCTGTTTTAGCACCCCATAATGTGTTTGAGCTGTGTATTCTCCCCCCTCATCTCATCACTTGTAGAACCCAGCTATAAAAATCGTGTGCCTGGTTTATGGCACATCAACCTAATTTAAACCATTCCAGAGAACAGCTGCATAGAAATGCAGGACTAAACTTTCTCTCTTTCCCCACCCAGCCCCCTCCGTCCCAAATTGATTCTATTATCAGGCGGTTGCCCCTACCTTTAACCATAGGGATAAGAGCATGTTTAATGGTCTTGTCTTAATTACTGGGACTGGCTAGGGACACCAAGAGAGGCTGAAGGGCAAAGCAGCCAGAGTGAAGGACATTGCTGATAATCTTATCAAAGGTTTCTCTTGGAGAGAGAGGGGGAAAAAGAGGGAGAAAGAAAGAAATACAACTATCTCCACCCTAGTCATTAGTCAGATATAAACAGGTATTTGACTTGACATGGTTATAAGCCCTATTATCACAGTCTGAGCTGGCTTCTTCTTCTTCTTTATGTGCTTTATTGGAAGATAGATGATGGGCCCGCACCAATTCCACTTAATGGGGTTAGACATATTTCCAAACAATATGTGCATGGTTTAAACAGCTGAACGCACATTTGAGAATGATTCACTGCTCTTGTCTTGCATGTGAGAAATCTAATGTTAAAAAACAACAACACAGACGCTACTTCTAATAAGAGGTATAAATCCAACATTTCGTGGGTAACCTTCTGACTACATATCACACATCCAAGGTCCCTCCCTCCCTCCCCACCCTCTCCCATTTTCTACTTTATTTTACTTCAATGATAACTAACAGGCTGTCTTTATCAAGGACAGAACTGGAACATCCTTAACTGATTCAGCATCCCCCCAAATAGTACTCTGTCCCATTCTATATCCATTGCAGATGGTATGGTGGGGCAGAGGCACTAACATGACCTCCTGGCAAATGAGTCGCTGCTGCTCACTAGGAGGTGAGAGGCTGTGAGGCTGGCATAGTGGAAATGCACCATCAATCTGGCACTCATGTTTTCACACCATACTACCCTCCACACTGTTTTGCCCCTTGCCCTCCCTGTAAGCAGCAGTGACTCATCTGCCAGGAGGTCATTGAAACACATCTCTCCCACTAAGCCTTCTGCTACTCTCTAAATCTGGGGTGTATGTGTGTGTAGAATGGTTAGCAGCAATTCTGATGCAATGGCACCACCACCATGGATGAATATTCTAGTTCAGCAAAATAAAAAGAAGAAAATTCTAAACTTCTGGAATGTCAGTGATTTAGCCTCCTTGCCACAGAGGCTAACAGAGGACTCCAAAACATACATGAAACTCACAAGTCAGTGTTTCCCATACATAGCCATGTTTAGCCCAGTCCTTGGCATCTGAATACTAGACACTCAGGGAATGAAAGTAGGAGAGGTCTGTTGTGATTGCTTCCTGTTAGTTGTTTTACACCTGAAGCCTTTCTCACAAATGTGTAGGGCTACAAGGCAGTGGAGGATAAGGATCAGTTTACCTTCTCTGAGATGGGCTACATTCCCAGGTTGACGAGCTCCATGTGCTCCACATTTCCCTCAATACCACATGCAGAAGCCACCCTCTTGACTGTTCGACCTGCTATGGATCTCATCCGCTCAATCCATCCAAGTGTATGCAGAGGATAGACAAGTCCCTAACTCATCTGATTCACTGAGGGTTTAAGACCCATCGGCTACCTTCACCTGGTTTCGCCGGCCAGTGCAGATTGGGGATCAAAGATGGACAAACTACCCCAGAAGGAGCACATCATGTCCCCCACCAAGATACTACCCCTCATCTAGCACCCCATACACCCTAATCTGTCTGGAGAGATAATCACAGACTGCAGCAAACTGATGAAGTGATGGGCAGAGCTCTATCAAGAACTGTACTCATGGGAAATTATGACCACTGACACAGCAGTTGTCAGCATCCAGACTCTGCCTTTCTTGGAAGAGCTGGATGCGCCTTCCTCACTTGACACATCGTCCAAAATCAGAAGTATAACTGCCGCCAACCATGGATGCAGAGCACAGACATCATGACTAGCAGCCATTGATAGCTTTATCCTCCATGAATTTTTCCAGTCTTCATCTAAGTTGGTGGCTATCACTTCCTCCTTTGAGGAGCAAGTTCAATAGTTTAACTATGTGCTGCGTGAAGAAGTACTTCCTTTCATATGTCCTGATTCTTCCAACATTCAGCTTCATTTAGTGTTCATGAATTCTAGTGTTATGAGAGAGGGAGAACAAATTTTCTCTTCTGTCACGTCACCTTTTACTCACCTTTTCCTCAAAACTATGAAGTCTGCAAAGTCTGAATTTTCATACTGATTTTTTTTCAAAAGTAACAGACTAATGCATGAACAAGAGAGCGCAGGGCTTATGGATGAACTCAATATGGACCAGAAACATACTGATCCTTCTAGCCCTACTATCCATCATACAGCACTGGGTATATGCTGGATAGCTTCATACTCTGTGCTTACATATGGACACATTATTTTGTCATGCATTTGTCAACTTCGCACTGTTACTTGCTGCTGTTGACAACTATTTAAACTTATTTTCTGTCTCCAAAACTGAAATCTTTTTTTAGGCTGTGAAATTTGAGAACATTTTGTACTGTCAGAGCTTCATAAACTAGTTTTTTATACACACACAAGATACACACACACCCTTGAGGGAGGAGGGTATCCACAATAATAATAAAGCCATTTTCTACTGTGAGAATGGAGTATCTCTGGTTTCCTACTTGTTATGGTAGGCGTCAAATAGAAATGAGCATCAAATTACTCTTGCAAGGTATTTTAATCTATTACTCATGTCTGGAGTCAAGTCATCAAAAAACGGTGCATGGAAGAAAAATACCACCACAGAGAATGTGTGAACTCTCCATTTGGTGGGAGCAATTGACTTTCGTTCCAAGAGGCATGCAAAAATAAATTCTCCATAACCTTGACTTTATCTGAATACCATAAGCACACTTTAGCTTTGAAAGCTACTGATAGCCAGGCTTAATGAATTAATTAATTGTATTTTACAAACACTCTCATCCAACCTTTCAATTTAGTAGAATTCTAAAAGTGGCTTACAACTAATAACTAAGCATTAAAACAGAAAGAAAATTGTTATTTGTTATTGACAATAACAAAACTATAAACCATGGAAGATGGTACAAACTCACAAAATGAGCTGTAAAAAAACTGAAATCACCCTACAGTTGACAAATTCTGCACGGGCAAAAAATTAAAATAATTTGACCCATTTCCTAAACAGGGTTGGTACGGGGTGAAGATTGTTGAGTCAAAGTGACTGGTGTACTACCACCAAAAAGGCCCTATTACCAATAGCCAAAGTCAGAGAACATGGAGAAATGTCCCTAGGGAAATTCTCAACAATCGTGATTAGGAAAAGACAATAAGCAAAACACAAAATGTCCGTAACCTATTTTTTCAAAAAACAAAAATGGGGGAAACCCACCAGAAAAAGGGAATGGAGCCATCTATATAATGACAGGCCTGAGACAAGGTGTAATGACTAAGGGTGGACAAATTTCACAATTTCAAGTTCTCTCAGTGTTTCATGTTTCAATCTTTAGCTCGGTTCTCCACATTCTGCATCACTTTGCAGATTTTTAAATAGTTCTCATGAAAATTCATCATCATTTTGTCCACATTTCTTCTAATACACCTATTTTTGCAAGCAATCCCCCTGATACAATGCATTCTTATGTGTGATTTCCACTAATATATGTATTTTATGCACACTTCCCCAAATACAGACATTTTAGCACACATTACTTGCTTGGAGAACTGCTTTGCAAATTTCAGACAAGTTTGACTTTCAAAGGATAGCTTTATTTTGGTTCATGAGTTGCAGCCTTCGCCAGCCTGGGACCCTCCAGCTGTTGCTGGGCTACAACTGCCATCAGCTGATGGGGGTTGTAGTTCAACAACATCTGGAAGGTACCAGGTTGACAAAGGCTAGTCTGTTGTTTCAAAAGTGTGAATTAGCTAATTGTACATTAAAATGTGAACCAACTTCTTCCCCACCCCTAGTCACAACTGAACTGGTCCTAACTATTGTAGCTGCCCTTATGGTTAGGAAAACAACACAGAGCTGAACCTCTGGAAATTATAAGTGGATCTATAGGAGAAGTTTTTTGTTGTTGTTTTTACCTTTGTGAAGTCATTATGACTTTTCCTCTGATCATTAGTACTGAATCACAGCCAAGAAAAACAAGGGTGTTTGTTTTTGTTTTTTAAAAAAGTCATTTTGACTTTGGAGCGCTGAACATATTTAGCGACCACATTTTGGGATGACTTATTTCAGCAGTATATTTTAGGTAGTATTACTAGTAACAGTATTTTCAGACCTTTTCAGGTAGCTATCTACAGAGCAGCTTACAACAAATTAAAACTGAAAATGGTTAGACCAGCCACAGGCAAACCCAGTCCTTCAGATGTTTTGGGACTACAACTCCCATCATCCCTAGCTAACAGGGCCAGTGGTCAGGGATGATGGGAGTTGTAATCCCAAAACAGCTGCAGGGCCGAGGTTCCCTATGTCTGGGTTAGACATAATAGTTGCTATGTCTGCAGTAAAGAGGAGGAGTGAAATCCAGTTCTTACAAGGTTGCTAATCTCTCTCCTTCTCTGCTTAGGAAGCTGCCATATACTGAGCCACATCACTGGTCCTTCTTAGCTCAGTATTGTTCACGCTCTCTGGCAACAGTTCTCCAGTGTTCCAGATGCAAAGTCTTTCCCAGCCATACCTAAAAATGATGGGGATTGAATCTCATGCTTTCTGCACATAAATCAGATGCTGTACCACTGAGCCATGGCCCTTCATAAGTATGCATGCATCCATGCATGACTGCAAATGGTTTTATCTGATTGTGATGAGGCTGGAGATGCTGTGTGCCTTCCCACCCACACTAGCAGTTGGTAATATCAAGTGTACTGAAGGTAGATGGGCTTGGGAAAATAGAAGCAGGAGGGGGGTATAAAAGAGAAAGTTGGGGTGCAGAGAGAGGAAAGCAGTCGTGCCATACTACACAAGATTTGGAGTATATTTAAAGGTTTGTAACAGGGACTGGGAAGGGAGATGTTCTCTTTCCAACTCTTTATGATGACCAAGAATGCTTCTAAGGCCTGTCCTCTGTCATAAGAAGGGACAGCAAATTTTCTGAGGTTTGAGGGATTCATGATTGTGAGGGTGTGGAAGACCTGTTACTATTTCTGCAACTCGGTCCCTGTTCCCAGCGTTATGGAGCCACCCAATCGGCATGAAAGGGGAGCATTTTAGCAACTGTGTGCCCCAAAGCTAAGCATTTAGGAACACTGAAAACAGAAGGTGCTTCAGTTTAAGAGAATGACCGCTTCCCGCATAAAACGGGGGGCGACCTTTGCGTGGACGCGCGCAGCCCCTGGATCTGGAGCGGCTCCATCAGCATAGGCTTGGCTTCGCCTTCCCTCAGGTGGGATACCTGGAGGTCTCCACCTACCCCAGTCAGCTGTCCAATCCCACCTGGGGGAAGCGTTGCCAAGGAGATCAGGCCAGGTAGGGGAGGGATTACCTGCCCACACAATAGAGGGAGGATTTTACCTGGGAATCCTCACTTGGCTCCAGAGCTTCTCCCACCCTACCCACCCTCAGTTAATGCATTATTTTGCAGGTTAACTTTTCTTCATATGTTTTGCAGGTTAACTTTTCTTCATAGGTTTTGCAGGTTAACTTTTCTTCACAGGTATGCGGGTGCTGCTACATTAAGGTCGCTGTTAAAGGGCAGGAAAGGAATTTCCCTGCATTGGCAGGTTTTGCCTTTCCCATAGCAAAACGTCACAACTTTGGCGGTATCAGGCCTTGGGCGGAATCCTTTTGTCCATCTTCCTCTTTGCAGCGGCGATACCAGGGTTCCCCGTTAAAGGGGTTTCTGAAGGGAGGCTTTGACCGTACGCCGAAAGGTTGTCATTGCTCTCCCCTGCGGCGGTGGCGTAACGGGGGCGGCTATCTCTGCTTGAACATATGTTCTCCAGAGCCGGCCCACCCCACCCCCCACAAACACTGGATAACCCTGATGCTCCCTAGGTTCCCGGCTGGGGACTGGGGAGGGAGAACGCCCAATGCCTGAGCCAAGGTCTACCCACATTTGAAATTTAATAAAGTTGTGGCCAATTTAATCCCATAGCACGTTGTCTTGGGTCGTTATTCCACATGACGGGGGGTCCGCTCAGGATCTGGGGACTCCGCCTGTCCACGCAACTGTGTGCAAGTTCTGTCACATACAATGGAACTTCATAGACAACACAACTTAAATTTACTCTGAAATAAGATATTGCAGCAATCCAAATCATTTGCCAATGTATGTGCTCAGAAAACAGTAGAACTAGCTGAATGGCAACACATGGGGATGTGTATTAATCATGGCAATGCCTCCCTAATTATTATTATTGTTGTTGTTGTTGTTGTTGTTGTATAATTAATACTATATAATCTTAGAAGGTTGTATAATCTTAGCAGGGGCATGGTTGTGCGAAGACACGGCTGTGACTATCATGAAAAGACCTGCACTTCTGAATTTGCTACTATGTTACCAGGCTTGGGGAAAACCTACCATACTGGTTTTAGAAATCTTTAATAAAAAAGACATTAAAGAAATGCATTTCTGCATTGTTGCAACCTACCCTGAGACCTTATATGAAGGGTGGGTAAGAAATTGAGTAATCTGATAACCACCAACAACAACATATTTTAGCTAGCTATGTTGGAATGCTATTGAAATGACTCCGCAGCTCTGTCCTGCAGCTCTGTCCTTCCTTGGGGAAACAGACTCACTAGAGATGATCTGAGTTCCTTTTTTCTATCTTTGGCTTCAGTCTCTTGTGTTCAAGGAAGCAGCGGAAGATTTCTGACAGGTTGGACAACAGTTCCTGCTTAAAGCTCATTCACTTTGCCTTAGCCCTCTCCTTTGCTTTGTTCTATCTGCCCCACTTTCCCCACTGAATCCTAAATCTAGTCCATTTGCTTGTTTGATTATGCTTAGCTTTCAGCAGAGTGAAATGTCACCCACTTCCTAGATAGTCCCCTGAATCCAAGGTATAAACGATTCCCTCTCTCTTTCTGCACCTCAGTGATGCTAAAATTAATTGTAGGGTTTGCTGTCTCTCTCTCTCTCTCTCTGGCTAAGTGGGCCCTGCCTCCTCAACCCACACAAATTCCAATTGTGCTGACAGGTGAGTTTTCCAGCATCCCTTCTTATTAAGCAGTGAACAGCCCTCATTTTGCTCTTCTAAAATCAGGGAAATATTGTGTCAGTTACTGTCAAAATCCATGATGCATCCCAAAGTAGAGACAGGCAGAAGCAATAACCTAATGTAAACAGAGAAAAGTGAGATGTTGACATCTTATTTACCAAAACCGTAATGGTGTATTCTCCTCTTCGGCTGGCAAGTGAAAAATAAAACCTCTCTTAGCAAAGTAAGTTTTCAAGAAGGACTTTAAGGGGAGAAACTTTGGCCATGGCATTATTTGTGCAAACATTTCTTAAATGACAAATTACCATCTCTGTTTTGTTTTTGTTTCAGTATTATTTATAAATGCATTTGCTAATAAACATCTCACACTCTCTCCTTAGTTAGCACTGGTTTTCACATATTATAAAACAGATTGTTTACGAAATAATTTTTACATAGCGATTTATATACATTTCATGAACCCATGCTTTCTAGTCAGCTCCCTGATGCTGTCCTGCAAGTGTTGGAAAGATGATTCTTAAAATACAATCCAACTTGAAAAAAGAGACATTGCACATACTTTTATAAACCAAGAAATATTTAATAAAAATATATTTTAAAAAATACAATCCAAATATATATTTCCATAATTATATTACCTAAAATGAATATATTAAAATAAATAAGCTTTATTGCAAAGGTAGGGCACCTTTTTTCAGCTGAGTGTCACATACCCTTGTTAGCAGCCTGTCATCATGTCATATTCCTATCTCAGGTGCCAAGGGTGTTAGTAGCTTAGCCTCGATTCCCTCCACAGCTCCTAAGCTAGCTTAGTTCCCGATATTGTGTTGTCCCATTGAATTAAGGTTCAGCTGCCATTCTGGTCAAATTCTGAACATCAGATTATGGAGAGGCCATTTTGTTCTTTGCCTTAGACAGTAAAATGTCTTGAGCTGGAACTGCTGGCCACCTCTTCTCTTAACCACTGCAATCTTCTTGTCTCTGGTCTTCTGTACTTTTTTTCTACTGGAGAAAAGGCCATAGCTCAGTGGTAGAGCAACTGCTTTGCATGCAGAAGGTCCTTGGTTCAATTCCTGGCATCTTCAGCTAGGATTAGGATAGAACCCAATCTGAAAACTTGGACCCCCTTGGCATATGCAATCTGAGACAGGAACATGACAAAGAGATAGGTTTACTGAGAGGAAGCAAGAGAGGGGGGTGACTGAATATATTGATGGTGATGTCAATGGAGAAGGGCAGTTGTTGTTGATAAAATGTATACACCTTCCTTCCTCCCAAAGCAGCCAGGGTGGCCACCACACACACAGTACAACTTCTAAAAGCAAAGCAGTGTGATGCAGGCTGAGAAAGTGTTAATTTAAAAGGCTTGGTAGAAGAAGAAGGTCTTAAGTAGGTGCTGATAAGAGAGGGCACAATGTCTAATATTTAAGAGGAGAGAATTCCAAAGGGTAGGTGCTACAACAGAAAGGCACAATTCCTATATTGTGCAGAAGAGACTTCCTGATAAGGTGGTTTCAGCAGGAGGACCTCACTTGCAGAGCACAGTGATTGTGTATATAAGGGGTGAGACAATCTACATCATGTGGAAAAGAGGCTCATAGGCTTGTAAACTCATGCTACTCAGAGCAGACCCACTGAAAATGATGAAACTAACTTAGTCATTTTCAGTAACTTCAGTGGGTCTACTCTGAACAGGAAAAGCATTGGCTACAATCCTTAGTTTCCTTCTGTAATGAATCTTGGGATTCTGATTTTTTCTTTTTCTTTTACTCTGGCTATATTCAGGTTGGAAAATCAGATTCTGGGACACAGGTATAAGCACAGTGTTGCACAGGAAGAAAATACCCTTATACTAAATCAGACCACTGGTCCATCTTGCTTATTATTGTCTACACTGATTTAATGCAGGAGTGCTTTTCTCAGCCTTATCTGGAGATGCCAGGGATTGAACCTACGACCTTCTGCATACAAAGCAGATGCTCTCACACTGAGCCATGGCCCACTTGGTAGCCTGCCAAACAGAAGTAGTATGCTAATGTTGCTGGGGACAAGGGAGTGGTCATGATAGGGACTTGCATTTAAGTCCAAAAGAGACTATTATCTCTCCTCCCTGAGTGCCTACCCTGTTTTGGTGCCGCTGTTGGAGGCACAACAAGTTGCAAGTTCTCCCCTGGTAACTGAATAATATTTTAAAGAAATAGGGATGACCTTTTCCTTCAGGCTTTACAAGATCATGTCCTTCCTTTCCTACCTCCAACCCCACTCATATAGATGTCAGATTCCATTTATATTGGATGGGGTGGACACTTTATGGTTTAATGGTCTGCACAGTTGTTAAGAACTAAGAGAAAAAGCTGAGGTACACGGTATAATATCCCATTTTTACATCCACAGCCTATCAATTATAACCACAGATGGTGCAATATTTCAAAGTTAGGTCAGTCAATTAGTTTGCTCCTGATTAGGTGTTAATGTTCCCCATGGATAGTCTCTTGAATTTAGTTCTTGTTCTGATATGATCTGCTGTCGCCTTGTTTTATCACTGGTCTTTGACTCACCAATTTCTAAGAACCACCTGTTCTATATTTCTCCCT